GGGTTATTTATTTCATGAAAATACTTTGTCCATGCCTATGAACTCTTTAAGAGAGTTAGTTATGTGTGAGGCACATGAGGGAGGCTTAATAAGGTGTTTTAGTGTCTTAAATGCTTTAGCTATGTGAATTGAAAACTTCTTTTGGCCTCACATGAAGCTGGATGTAAAGAGTGCTTATGAGAAGTGTGTGACATGCGGGCAAGCTAAATCTAAACTTAAACCCTATGGCGTGTACACACCATTACCTAATCCTAGTTCACCTTAGGTTGAAATTTGCATGGATTTTATGTTGGGACTACCGCGAGACTAGGAAAGGGAGGGATTTTATTTTTGTTGTTGTTGATACGTTTTAAAGATGGTGCACTTCATTGCTTGCCATAAGATAGATGATGCTAACAACATTACGAACTTGTTCTTTCAAGAGGTAGCATGTTTGTATGGAATGCCAAGGAGTATCGTTTCTAATCATGATGCCATGTTCTTAAGCTACTTTGGGAAGACTTTATATGGTAAGTTGAGAACTAAGTTATTGTTTTCTACTACTTGTCATCTGCAAACTGATGGCTAAGCCGAGTTAGTGAATCAAATTCTATTTACTTTATTACGTGTTATTCTAAAAAAGAACATTGAGAATTGGGAAGAGTGTTTTCCACGTGTTGAATTTACATATAATATACTATTCTTACTACTACTTGTTCACTATTTGAGATAGTTTATGGTTTTAATCCTTTAACTCCATTGGATTTGATGCCTTTTTTGGTTGATAAGTATTCCGGCTTAGATGGTGAGAAGAAAGAAAAATTAGTGAAGTTCTTGTATGAGAAGGTGTGATAACACAATGAAAAGAACAATGAGTAGTATGCGATGAAATCCCGATAAGGGGAGAAAGAAAATTATCATTGAACTAGGCGATTGGGGTTAGGTGGATATGCTTAAGGAGCATTTTTCAACTCAACGGCATTCTATGTTATAACCACAAGGAGATGGCCTTTTTTAAGTAGCTATAAGAGTCGATGACAATGCTTATAAGCTTGATTTGCGAGAGAGTATGGAATTAGAGCTACTTTCAATGTTTTTAATCTCTCTCCTTTTGATGTAGATGTTGACGAAGAAGATTCGAGGAAAAATCCTTTTAAAGAGGGAGGGAATGATGGAATCAATGGAGCCAAAATAGACCAACAAGGTGGTGTCTCCAAAGGAGGTCCAAGATGGTGAGTTTACAAGTTCAAGATATGATTCATTACACATTAAAGATGGCCCGATGACACAAGCTAGGGCTAAGAAACTTAAAGAAGCTTTGTATGGGCTGATTCAATAGTGTTGGGCGGAATGCACTTCCGAGGGCCTAAGGGAGCAATGTGGCACTATCTTAAGAGAGGAGGGGGATCCAAGACTTATCAATCGATCCAAGTGTAAGATTAGACTCCTTAAATCATATTGGGCCTATTTTGTTATATCTAGCTGAATTATAATTAGAACTAATTAATTAAGTCAAATTTGGGCTTAATGTTTTAAGCCTAACTTAATTATAATTAGAACTAATTAATTGACTCGAATTTGGGCTAAATGTTTTTAAACCTTATTATTTTTGTATTCTTTTAAGTCCAATAGGATTTGTTTATATTCTCCTTAGGTGGGAAGGATGTGCGAGTCCTTTTAGGGTTAGGAATAGTGTGTTTAGCCTATTTAAAGATTTATTTAGTTTTATTTTAGAGGAACACAAAAATTTTAAGAGTTACTAAATTTGAGAGAATTTTTTTCATTTGTTTATTTGAAAACTAAATCTAACTTATCAAGGGTTGTAACCCTTGTGGCATCTCTAAATTTATCATCCTCCATAGAGTGTGGCATTTTTCACTCAATTATAACATAGCTTTATTTCTTACTTGCTTTATAGGCAACGGGTTGGGTTTTGCTTATGATAACTCGATTGGACGTTTTCTTAGGGTTGTCTAGCAATAAAGGTATTTAAGTCTCTCATCTTTATACGTGGGGTTCACATCAATAGGGAGGGGGACAGAGAGGGAGGGAGCAAAAATATATGGAGAGGGAGAGAGGGAGGGAGAGGAGAGACGAGAGAGAAAGGGAGAGAGGGGGAAAGGGAGGGTGAGGGCGATGGAGATAAAGAGGTCGGGGAAAGATAGAGTAGGGAGAGAGGGAGAGGGAGGGAGTGGGAGAAGGAGAGAGGGTGAGAGAGTGAGGGAGAGAGGGAGAGGGAGAGGTAAAGATTAGATAGGACGGAGGAAGAAAGCGATAGAGAGAGAAAGAGGGAGAGAGTCTAGGAGGGAGGGGAGAGAGAGGCAAAGAGTAGGAGGAAGGGAGAAAATGGGAGAGGGAGACAAAGAGAGAGGGAAAGAGTAAGGGAGGACGGAGGGAGAGGGAGAAAGTGCGAGAGAGGGAGAGGGATAGAGGGAAAGAGTGAGAGGGAGATAAGGAGAGAGAGGGAAAGAGGGAGGGATAAAGGGAAATAGTGAGAGAGAGACGGGGAAGGAGAGGGAGGGAGAGAAAGAGAGGGTAAGAGCGGAGAGAGTAGGAGGAAGGAGAAGAGAGAGGTAGAAAGTGGGGGAAGAGAGAGGGAGAAAGAGTGGGAGAAAGGGAGAGGGGTGGGATAGAGAGGGAAAGAGGAGAGCAAAAGACGAGAGAGAGAATAAGGAAATGAGAGAAAGAAAGGAAGAGGGAGAGAGATAGAGATAGGAGAGAGAGGGTGGGAGAGAGGAAGGTGGAGAGAGAAAAAGAGAGAGGGAGAGGGGTAGAAAGAGGAAGGGAGGGAGGCGGAGTAAGGGGGAGAGAGAAAAGAGAGGGGAGAATGGGAGAGGTAGAGGGAGAGAGGAACTAGGAGAGAGAAAGGAAGAGGGATGGAAAGGGAGAGAGGGAGAGAGAAGGAGAGAAAGGGGGAGGGAAAAAGAACATAGGGAGAGGGAGAAAGGGTGAGAAAAAGGAGAGAGAGGGAGAGCAAGAGACGGGGAAGAGAGATGGTGGGTGGGAGAGTGAGAGAGGGAGAGAAAGGAAGGGAAGGATAGAGAGAGGAAGAGCGAGAGGGAGTGAGAGGGAAAATAAGAGAGGGAGAGAAGGAGATAGAGGTAGAGTGAGGGGAGAGAGAGAGAGAGAGTAGGGGACGAGAGAGTGGGAGTGGGAGAAGTAGAGAGGGAGAGAGATCGAGGGTGATAGGAGAGGGAGAGGGAGAGAGAGGGAGAGAGAAAGAGAAAAGGAGAGAGAGAGAGAAGGAGAGGGAGAACGGGAGATGGAGAGTGAAAATGAGAATGAGGGAGAGAGAAGGGGAGAGGGAAAGGGAGAGGCAGAGACGGAGGGAGGGAGGGAAAGAGCAAGTGATAAAAGGAGAGAGAGGGAGAGAGGGAGAAGGACATAGAGAGAAAGGTGGAGTGAAAAGGAGAGAGAGGGGGAGGGAAAGAGAGAGCGGGGGATAAAGGGAAAGAGAGAGAAAAGAGAGAGAAGGGGAGAGAAAGAGAGAAGGAGAGAGTGGGAGAACGAGAGAGCGACGAAAGAGATGGAAAGGGAGATAGTGGGAGAGGGAGAGAGGGGAGGGGGAAAAGGGAGCAAGGAAAAGAGGGGAGGGATAGGAAGATAGATAGAGAGAGGGAGAGTGAGATGGAGAAAGATAGCGAGAGGGAGAGGGAGAGAGGGCGGGAGGGGGAGGAAGAGGGAGATAGAGAGAAAGAAAGAGTGATAGGGAGGGAGAGGGAGAGAGATAGAGAGGGGAGAGAGAGGGAGAGATGGAGGGAGAGAGAGAGGAAGCGAGAGCGAGAGAGGGAGAGGGAATGAGATGGGGACAGAGAGGGAGAGAGGAAGGGTAAGAGAGAGAAAGCAAGGAAAGACGGAGAGGAAGAGGGAGAGGGAGGGAGATAAGGGTTTATAATTTATAAATTTTTAAATCTATTTGAAAATTTAGTAAATAGATAATTTAAAAATAATTATAAATAGATAAATAATATTAAATTTAATAAATAGATAAATAGGAAAATAATATTAAACAAATTATAGCAAAAAATGAGAAATAATTAAAAATATTTACCTAGCTTTGTAAACTAATTCATAAATATTTTTCATAAAATAAAATTAGTGAAAGTAGTTAATTAGTTTTGTAAAACTAAAGATACAAGTTTATAATTTATATTCTTAAATCTATTTGCGAATTTAATAAATATAAATTTAAAAAAAAATAAAAAATATAAAAATTAAATTAAATTAAATTAAATTATGATTAAAAATGAGAAAAGAAAGATTGAAATATATATATATATATATATTAGAAGTAAAATAACTAAAATAATTTAAAATAGCTAATTGGAGTTGCAAAACTAAAGATACAAGTTTATGATTTATATATTTTTAAATCTGTTTGGAAATTTAATAAATAGATAATTTTAAAATAATTAAAAATAGAAAAATAGTATTAAATTAAGTATGGTTTTGTAAAACTAAAGACAAGGGTTTATTATTTATATATTTTTAAATCTATTTGAAAAATTAATAAGTATATATTTAAAAAATAATATAAAAGTTTAATAAATGGAAATTTAAAAATAATTACAAAATTGGAAAATAATATTAAATTTAAAAAATAATTAAAATAGGAATATAATATTAAATTAACATGGTTAAAAAAATTAGAAATAATTGAAAATAGTTAATTGGTTTTGTATAACTAAAGATAAGGTTTTATAATTTATGTAATTTTTAAATATATTTGAAAATTTAATAAATATATATTTAAAAAATAAAAAACTAGGAAAATAATATTAAAATTTAGTAAATAGAAATTTAAAAAATAATTACAAAATAGGAAAATAATATTAAATTTAATTTATCGAAATTTAAAGAATAATTAAAAATAGGAATATAATATTAAATTAACATGGTTAGAAAAGTGAGAAATAATTAAAAACAATTAATTTTTTTTAACAATAAGTTAAGAGCTTCGAAAAAATCGCAACCTAGCAAACTTCAGTGATGGTCAGGAAGAAGATGATCTTTAGGCGGCCATGGTGGCTCGGCCACTAGTGAGGCAGCCTCTAGGGATTCCACGATGGAGTCTCCCATCTGGTACGATAGTTAATATATCTGGAAAACGAATGAACATGGTTATGAATAACAAGGTTTCTATTGTAACAAGCAGTACTGGGCATGGGTCTGCCATTATTGCCTATACTCATGGAGAGAAGAGGGTGGCTTGGCCAGTAGTGGGGCAGTCCTCAGGGACCCTATGATGGAGTTTTCCACCTAGTAAAACATGTCCTATACCTGAAAAACGGAATGATACAGGTATGGAAAAACAACAGGTTCCTGGAACAATCAATATTGGGAAGTTTTCAACCATGGATCTTTACACTAACAGGAAGTCTAGTAAGAGGGATTTACAACAGGCACAACACACATCTACTTTGACATATGCCAAGGTAGTGACAAACATACATGAACCGACCAGTAACCCAAAAATACCAAAAACTTATCCCGTGATAGCCATTCCTCTAGCACTACGACAGACAACTATTGTCAACTCTACGCCAGCCTACTTTTTCTCACCTTTTGAGTTGGAGATTGCAGCTTCCTAATTTAGCAACACTTTGATTCTAAAATTCTCAAGGGGAAGACCACCAATCAAGGATATTCAAAGCCATTTTCAAAGGATGTGGAGGCTATGGGGTGAACCAGTTGTAGGCCTTCTTGATCCAAGGCATGTCATGATAAGATTGGAAACAGGATCCGAGCTCTTTCAAGAGAAGATTACAAGATACAAAGCTCCATGTATCATGTTAGATGGAACTCAGATTTCCAATTTCAAAAGGACAATCCTTATGTTTCTATTTGGTTTAGACTTCATCATCTTTCATTGATTTTTTTCAATCCTTCTTACTTGAAAAGGTTAGGAGAAGGAATTGGGAGATTCTTACATGTAGATGATAGGACAATGGCATTAACACATCCAATGTTTGAACAAATTTGTATAGAGGTGGATGTATCGAAACCTTTACTTAGAAGAATATGGGTTGGGAGCTTTAAAGAGTATGGTTTCTAGCAAAAGCTTGAGTATGAAGGAAATGTGCTATACTACCCATATTGCAGCTTAATTGGACATTCTAAAGAGAATTATCATAAGAGAAGCAAAGTCCATAAAGGTGGTAACATTAGGGTGAATAAGGAAGAAAATGCTGCTGGTGGAACATAAGGGGAAATAGATTCAAAGTCACAAAAGGAGTAGTGGGTTCGGGTGACTAAAAACGCTAGAACAAAGTCTAAAAAGGGGAGCAAGGAGAATCTAGTAATCCAGAAACAAGATGCAAGTGTTTTTTGAGAAGGGGGAAAGTAGAAAGATGAACCAGAATCAATTACTGGTTTCATTGGGCAAACATAGGGTGTTGGTTAACAATAACATTGGAGGAGCAACTGGTGGTGACATTGGGTAGGATAGCAAGATTGTGGAAATAGGTAATGGATTCGGGAGTAGGGGAGCCATCTCCAACGTAAGTCATATGGATAAGGGTGAAGTGGGACTTATGGAGGATAAGCAACAGGAGCATCCAACTACTATTAACGTTGCAGTAATGGAGTGTCCTGATATGGGCAATTTGGATTTGAGAATGATGCAAGGGGGAGTGACAGTGGTAGGGTCCAATCATTAATGATACTATTGTTCCCATGGACAATAACCTATTTGATATTCTAGATATAATGGAGGAAGAAGGGGAAGTTAAGGAGATGACAAATGTGTCCTTCAGTCTAAGCTCAAAATCGATAAACGTGGTAGTTGCAAAGGATACTGGTGTAACTAACAGTGTAAGTGTGGCTGTATTAAGATCAATCAACCAGATAGGAGGGATTTAGTGGTTCAAGATGGAAAAGATGCAGCCTTTTCCTTAGTGTCGAATAAGTCTGGAAGGTTGATGGGTAAAGGCATTTTTATGGTCAAGCCTGGCGTAAAGCCAAAAATATACGTGCAAGATGATACTTGTGTTAGTAGTGGGGTTCAAATGAAAGATCTCCATACATGGAATGGGGCCATTTCAAATGGTGAAAGAAGTCATGCGGATAAGGGTAAAGTGGGACTTATGGAGGATGAGCAACAGGAGCATGCAACTACTTTTAACGTTGTAGTAGTGGAGTGTCCTAATATGGGTAGTTTGGATTTGAGAATGATGTAAGGGGAGAGGGATAGTGGTAGGGTCCAGTCAGTGAATAATACTGTTATTCCCATGGACAATAACCTATTTGATAATCTAGATATAATAGAGGAAAAAGGGAAGTTAAGGGGATGGAAAAGGCGTCCTTCAATCCAAGCTCAGAATCAATAAACATGGTAGCTACAAAGGATACTAGTGTAACTGATAGTGTAAGTGTGAGTTGTATTAAGGTCAAGCAACCAGATAGAAGGGATTTAGTGGTTCAAGGTGGAAAGATGTAGCCTTTCTTTCTCTCTTCTTCTCCCTCTCCATTTCCATCTCTCTCTCACTCTCTTTCATTATGTCCCTCTCTGTCTATCCCTCTACCTCTCTCTCTCCATGTCTCTCTCCTTCTCCCTCTCCCACCATCTCTTTCCCTCCCTTTCTCCCTCTCTCTCTCTCTATCTCTCTCTCACTATCTCTTTCACTCACCCTCTCCCTCTTCTCTTACTTTCTCTCCTTTTCTACCTACCTCCCTCTCTCTCCCTACCACCTCTTGTCTCCCTCTCTCTTTCTCACTCTCGCTACCTTTTCCTTTCTCCCTCTCCCTCTCTATCTCTCTCTCTCACTTACCCTCTCTCTCCCTGCCACCTCTCTATCTCCCTCTCTCTTTCTCACTCTTCCTACCTCTCCCTTTCTGCCTCTTCCTCTCTATCTTTGTCTCCCACTTACCCTCTCTCCCTCCCTTTGCCCCTTTCTCCCACTATCTTTACGTCTCCCTCTCCCTCTCCCTATCCTTCTCTCCCTTTCTTGCTCTTTCTACCTCTCTCTTCCTCTCCCTCTCTCTGTTCCTCACCCTTTGACTCACTCTCTCAAGCTCCCTCTTTCTCTCTCCATCCATCTCTCTTGTTCTTCCCCTCTCTCATTTTCTCTCTCTTCCCTCTCTTTATCTCTCTCCCTATCCCACCTCCCCTTTTATCTACCTCCCCCAATCATCATGTCTGTCTCTCTCTCATCCTCTCTTTTTCCTCCTCTCTCACCTGTCTCTCACTATCTCTCTCTCTTTCTCCCTCTCTACCTCCCTCTCTCTTTCTCTCTCCCTCTCCCTCTCCTTCTCCCTCTCTTATGCCCTCTCTCGCCCACTCTCCCTCTCTCAATCTCTCTCCCCTCTCCTTGTGTCCTCTCACTATCCTCTTCACTCCCTCCCCTTCCTTTATATAGCTCTCCTTATCTCTCTCCCTCTCCCTTTCCCTCTCCCTCTCTCTTACTCTATCTCCTTATATCCCTCTCTCTCTATCTATCCCTCTACTTCTCTCCCTTACCCTCTCTCATCTTCTATCTCCTCTTCTCTCTTTTTACCTCTCTCCTTTCCCTTCTCTCTCCCTCTCTATCAATCTCTCTCTCCCACTCTCTCTCCCTCTCTCTCTCACCCTCTCCCTCTTTTTCCCATATCTCCCTTTCTTCATCTCTTTCCCTCTTACCTCCCTCTCCATCCCTTTCTCTCTCTCTGCCTCTCCCTTCTCACTCACCCTACCTCTCCCTCTCCATCTTTCTCTTACCCTCTCTCATTCTCTTTCACACTCTCTCCCTTTCTCGCTCCCTCTCCCTCTCCTTTTCACTCTCTTCCCCTCTCCCTATCACCCTTTCTCCCATACTCTCCCTCATTTGACCACTCTCGCTCCTCCTACTACTCTCTCTCCCTTTCCCTCTCCCTCTCTCTCTCCTCTCGCTCTCCTAACCTCTCCCTCTCCCCCTTTCTCTCCCCCTTTCCCTCTCTCTATCCTTTTCTCTCTATCTTCCTCTCTACCCTCCCACTTTACCTCTCTCACTCCCTTCCTCCCTCCCTCCCTCTCCCTCTCCCTCTCCCTCTCCCTTTTTTCCTCTCCCTCTCTCTCTTCTTCTCTCATTTTTTCTCTCTCTCCCTCTTCCTCTCCTTCTCTCTCCCTCTCCCTCCCTCTCTCCCATCCTTTCTCTCACTCTCCCTCCCTTTCTCCCTTTCTCTCCCTCTCTCCCCCTCTCATACTCTCTCACCCTTCCTCTCTCAATCTCTCTCTCCTTCCATCTATCTCTCTCCCTCTCCCCCTCTCTCTATCCGTCCCTATTCATCTCTCTCTCCCTCATTCCCTCTCTCCCTCTCTCTCGTCTCGCTGTCTATCCCTTACTCTCTCGCTCTCTCCCTCCTCTCCATCTTCCTCTCTCTCTCGCTTTCTTTCCCTCTCTCCCCTTCTATCTCACTCTCTCCCTCCTCTCCATCTTCCTCTCTCTCTCGCTTTCTTTCCCTCTCTCCCTTCTATCTCACTCTTCCTCCCTCTCTCTAACTCTCTCTCACTCTCCTTTCGTTTCTCCCTTTCTCTCTCGCCTCTCTGTCCCTTTAACCCTTTTCCTCTCCCTTTCTCTCTCCCTCTCCCTCTATCTCTCTCTCTTCTTCCTTTACTACATCAATCCCTCACTCTCCCTCGCATACTCTCTCCCTCCCTTTCTCTCCCTCTCTCTTTAACTCTCTCTCTATCTCTCTCTCACTCTTTCCCTCTCTTCTTCTCTCCCTTTCTTTCTCCTCCTCTCTTCCACTCTCTCTTTCTCCCTCTCTCTCCCCCTCCCTTCTCTCTCCCTTATTCTCTATCTCTCTCTCCCTCTCCATCACTCTATCACTCCCTCTCTCCCTCCCATTCCTTCTCTCTCTCCCTCTCTCTCCCTATCTCATCCTCCCTCTCCCTCCCTCCCTCCCTCTCCTTCCCTCCCTCCCTCTCCTTCATGCCACCCCTCTCTCCCTCTTTCTCCCTCTCCCTCCCTCTCCCTCCCCCCTCTCCTTCATACCACCCCTCTCTCCATCTATCCCCCTTTCTCTCCTTCACTTTACCCCTCTCTCACTCCCTCTCTCACTCCCTCTCTTTCTACCTCTATGTTACTCTTCCCTCCCTCCTTCTCTATCCCTCTCTCTTTTCCTCTCTATATCTCTCTCCCCTCTCTCCTTTCCTCTCCCTCTCTTTATCACTCTCGCACCTTTCCTCTCTCTTTCTCTCTCGTTTCCTTTCTCCCTCTTCTTCTCTCTATCCCTTTTCATCTCTCTCTCCCAATCTCTATCTTGCTATCTATCCTTTACTCTCCCCTCTTTCCCCCTTTCTCTCTCTCTCTGTTTGTATCTCACTCTTCCTCCCTCTCTCTAACTCTCTCTCACCCTCCCTTCTTTTCTCCTTTTCTCTCTCCCTCTATCTCTCTCACCTTTTCCCTCTCCTTTCCTCTCTCCCTCTCCCTTCTTTACTACGTCAATCCCTTACTCTCCCTCTCACACTCTCTCCCTCCCTTTCTCTCCCCTCTCTTCCACTTTCCTCTTCTCTCCCCCTCTTTCTCCTCCTCTCTCCCCCTCTTCCTCTCTTTCTCCCCCTCTCCCTCACTCTCTCCCTCCTCTTCTCTCTATCCCTTTCTCCCTCTTCCTCCCTCCCTCCCTCCCTCCCTCTCCTTCATATTACCCTCTCTCCCTCTCTCTTTCCCCTCTCTATCTCTCTCACCCTCTCTCCTTTCCTCTCCCTCTCTCTATCACTCTCGCACCTTCCCTCTCTTTTTCTCTCTCTTTTTCTCTCTCCCTCTCCTTGTTTCTCTATCCTTTTTCATATCCTCTCCTTCTCCACTCCCTTACCCTTCTCCCTCTCACTCACTCTCTCTACCTCTTTCTCTCTCTCCCCCTCTTTCTCCCCTATTTCTCTCCCTCCACCTCTCTATCTCTATCCCTCCCTCATAATTTCTTTGCTTCCCCCTCTCCCTCTATCTCTATCTCCCCCTCTCTCCCTCTCTCACTCTCTCTCCCCATCTCTCACTCTCTTTCTCTCCCTCTCTCTTATCTTATTCCTCCCCCTCTATCTATCCTACTCTTCCTCCCACTCTCCTTCTCCCTTTCCCTCTCTCTCTCTCTTTCTCTCTCTCCCTCTCTATCTCCCTCTCGTTATCTCTCCCTATCTATCCCCCTCTTCTCCCCCTCTACCCCCTCTCCCTTTTTCTCTCTCCCTATTTCTCCCTCTTTCTCTCCCTTTCCCTCTTTCTTTCTCTCTTTCTCTTTATCTCTCCCTCTCCCTCTCTCTCTTTCTCTCCTTATCCATCTCTCTTTCCCTTCCTATTTCTCTTCCTCTCTATCTCCCTCTCTTTTATATCCTAACCGCTCCCTCTCTCTCTCCCTTCTCGCTTCCCCTCTATCCGACTCTCCCTCCTTCTCTCTCTACCTATCTCTCTCCCTTTCCCTCTCCTTCTCTCTCTCCCTCTCTCTTCTTATGTACCTCTACTTCTCTCTTACCCTCCCTCTCCCCCTACCTCTCTCCCTCCCCCTCTATCTCTCCCTCCTCTCCATCTCCCTTAATCTCTCCCTCCTTCTCTCTCTCACCCTCTCCCACTCCTCTCCCTCTCTTTCTCCATCTTCCTTGCTCTCTCTCCCTCTCTCTTACTTTCTTTACCTCTCCCTCTCTCTCTCCCTCTCTTTATATCCCACCTACTCTCTCCCCTCTCTATCTCCTTTTCTATTTGTCTCACTCTTTCTCCCTCTCCCCCTATACCTCTCTCTCTTCCTCTCCCTCTCTCTCCCTCTCTCCTCCTCTCCATCGGCCTCTCCCTCTCCCCCTCCCTCCTTTGACTCTCTCTCGATCTCTCTTTTTACACACCCTACTCTCCCTCTCCTCCTCCCTCGTTTTGCCTCTCTCTCGATCTCTCCCTCTTGCACACCCTACTCTCCCTCTCTCTCCTCCCTCCCTCCCTCCCTCTCCCATTCCCTCTCCTTCTCTATCTACCTCCCTATCTCTCCCTCTCAAACTCTTTCACTCCCTCTCTCCCTCTCCCTCTTCCTCTATCTCCCTCTCACCCTCTTTAGATCTTCTCTCATGCCCTCTCTCCCTCCCTCACTTCTCCCTCCCTCTCCTTCTTCCTTTCTATCCCCTATCCTCTCCCTCTCTCCCTCTCTCACCTCCCTCTTCATCTCTCTCTCCCTTGCTCCCTCTCTCTCCTACTCTCTCCCTCTCTCTCCTTTATTCCTCTCTCCCCCTTTCTCTCCCTCTCTCTTATTTTCTCTCTCCCTTTCCCTTTCTCCTTCTCTCTCTTCTCTCCCCCTCACACGTACTCTCTCTTACTCACTCCCTCTCCCTCTTTCTCTTCCTCTTTCCCTTTCTCTCTACCCTCTCTCTATCTCCCACTCCCTCTCTCTTTCTCCCTCTATCGCTCTCTCCTCTCTCCCTCTCTCTCCCCCTCCCTCTATCGCTCTCTTCTCTCTCCCTCTCTCTCCCCCTCCCTCTCTCCATCTTCATCTCCCTTTATCTCCATCTCTCTT